TTGCTATTTTAACTTGCTACATTTGGGGGCAATTTGTTATGCAGCAGCTGACAACACACTGTGATCTTTTCCAATGGTATATAACCCTCAGGGATGGAGCATGTTGGACTGAACTACCTGAGCATGACTGTCACCCAGCTTTAGAACTCCAGAGTTCTCCCTGAAAGGAGTGGTTAAATATTCCTATTACTAATATCACTACAATATTTATGGTTAAATATTCCTGTTACTACTAATATTAAATGTTGTCTCATGAATTTTCCCCAAAAGACATGCTATGAATCTTTATGTGCAACAACTAATCAAAAGTTTAAAGAGGCTGGGTGTAGTGGCACACACTTGTAATCCCAGTGGCTTGGGAGGCTGAGGCAGGATGATCACGAGTTCAAAGCCAGCCTCAGCAATGGTGAGGTGCTAAGCAACTCAGTGAAATACAAAATAGGGCTGGGGATGTTGCTCAGTGGTTGGTTCAATCCCTGGTACTCCTCCCCTCAAAAAAAAAAAAAAAAAAAAATTCAAGAATTCCAAGATAGCAAATTCAGCCCAGAGCAGCTTTGATGGTTCAGGCTAGAATTAGAAATATAGAAGGAATTTAGGGGATGTCCCTGGCTTATCTAAGGCTGATTCTGTAAGAATGATGTCAATTTCTGTAGAAGTGAACCATTTAAAACCACAGAGAGACTAAGTATGTTCCCAATTCTCCCCTCCCATGGGAAGGGAGGTGCTTGAAAGATTTAGCTGCCTTCAAATTATAGCAAATTGTGATGATCATCCCCAAAGGCCCTGCATTTGGGATTAGGGAGAGGAGAATATTTCTGGATCAGATAATCTACGATTATCTGTAGGTTCTCTGGTCCTATCACCTGGACCACACCCAATCTTGGAATCTAAGCAGGTCAGACCTGGTTGATATTTGGATGGAAGATTAACTCTAGGAGCTTGTACACAAACCATTAACATCTAAGATTAATAGTTAAGGATAAAGTGCCGCCTTCTGACTTCTACCCACTTGCCCACTCTTGTTAGTCACTCTTCTGGTAGTGACCTATCTCAGACCATTTAAATTCAACAAACATTTATTGAAAGTCTGCTTACCTAAGCAGCTAGGCCAGAGATGTGTTTATGTAAAAATGTTACTAGATTGGCAGTTTCTAGATCCTAAACTCACCTAGGAATGAATCTGGTAGTAGCTTGAGGAGACAGGTCCTCTCCTCTAATAGAAGTTCTGAGACAGTGGATCCTTCTACTGTATTCTTTCTAAACTTGGCTCTCAATTAGAGTTCCTTTCCAGAGATGAGAAGTGTTTACTTCTCCCAAAACATCCTTCTGTCTCCCCTCCACCAATGTGGTTCTATACTTTATTCTATACCATTACTTGAGTAGAGTTATCAAAATAGTTCATAAAATCATTTGAGGATAAGCCTATATACATACATAGCATAGTCCCAGAAATCCCATACTATTTGTAAGGCCAGTAAAACCCATTAGCTTTCAGAGGAGGTGGGGTATGAAGACGGAGAAGAGAAGAGGAAACAGAAGAATTTCCTTGCACTTATTCATTTGCTCACACCAAAACACCAACATTGTGTCCATTTGGCCTCCATTTTATATATTAATTTGTGGGCAGTATCTTGAATGTCTCTCCAATTTAACATCAATAGAGTTGTATGACGGAGTCACAAGGGAGGAGTTATTCTAAACCTTTATTGAGAGGCAAGTGCAAAAAGGCTTCAACAATTTAGATTTAGCGGTTGAGTGCCCACTGGAGTTAAGTCAACAGATCTGCTGACTGTGCCATATGGTGGAGGAGCTGACCACGCTGAGACAAGTTGAGATTTCAAAACAATGCAAGTAATTTGCTGAGGTCCAAGGCCCCTGAAAAGCAATTCACTGAATAACAATAGGAACTGCCTGGACACTTCCTCCATAACACTGGACAAGGCCACTCCTCTCCTTTATTAGTGGGGCTCCGTGCCGTCAACCTACTTACTGGTTGACAGAACCTGAGAAACTCTTGTCCATAAAGCACAGAGGAAGGGGGAGCTCATTAGAAAGAGCTGACAGCAGGAATCTGCTTTAAGAATGATCATAGTTTTCACATCTCATCTTCCTATACCCAGCGACAGCCTTTTCAGCTCAGCAAAATCTCATGTGTATTTTTTTCTGGAAGATAGTCTCTGTCTCTTTAAGATATTATATATTGGGGTGGGGGAGTGCTACATAAGATCAGTATTGTTTATTCAAATCATATGCATATGCACGTTGTCACAATATGTATGCTTATGTCATGTATATGTATATTGCATATTGTGAAAACAAGAATGAAAACTTTGTTTTTGCAGTACTGGGGATTAAACCCAGGGCTTTGCTCATGTTAGGCATCCCTTGAACTACACCCCCAGTTCAAGTGTGAAATTTTTTATACATTATACTCTTTTACACATTTTTACGGTTGGCGATTGAGCTAAGGGCTATAAAATGGCAAGGCTCTAATCAGCCCACTTTGTTTACAGGAGTAATTGTCTGAAGCCTTTGGAGTTATATGAATTGCCAATTTATATTAGTTATAACATAAAGCAACATGAGGCTCTTGGCAGCCCGATTCCAAACAGAATTAACGGAGCAAGCACTGGTTCTTTCCCATTACACACTTCAGAAGCTTTTGTGGGGCTGTGTTTTGTAGTGAAAAACAATCAACACATGGTTCAGTTATTTTTAGACTCAGTAACAAAAAACTTCACCTTAGTGCCACTGCTGGAGTTATAGCAATCCAGACTTCACAGGTTTGACAACATCTAGTAAGTAGAGCTGTAGGCTTAAAGCTCAGAAAACTGATGCTTAATAGCTCAGTGGTGCACACCTGTAATCCCAGAGACTCAAGAGGATCACAGGTTCAAGACCATCCTCAGCAAGACTCTGGCTCAAAATAAAAAGTAAAGAGGACTGGGGATGTGGCTCAGTGCTTAAGTGCCCCTCAGTTCAATCCCCAGTACCAACAATCAAACAACTCTTTAAACAAGTAATGCTGGCAATGAGATAGGTGTGGGAATACAGTGGTAAGAAGAAAAGCAGGATCGATGAATTCATAGTTTATTATAGTTGCCTTTTATTTATTTTTGGTTTTACGGATTGAGCCCAGCTACATCCTCAGCCCTTTTTGAGACAGGGCCTCATTAAGTTGGTTAGGGCCTTGCTAAGTTGCTGAAGCTGGCTTCTAACTTGTGATCCTCCTGCCTCAGCCTCAATAGTTACTGGGATTACAGGCGTGTGTCACCATGCCCAGCTCATGGTTTACAATTGAAAAGTCCTGTTGAGTGATGGGACTTCTGCTTTCTTTGGGACAACAAGCTGCTTTCTAGACATTGCACCTTATTGATATAAGGATCGACCAGTAGCTGGAGTTAGCTATGAAGCTGAGTGAGCTATTTGGAGCCCCAGCAGGAAGCAGTGGTTCAAGAACTCCTTTTAACCACTAATATAGTATTCTGTCAGCAATAATATAGATCTTTTAAAATGGCCCTAGAAAGCATCTATCGAAGGAATTCCTTAAGACTCCTCTATTAGCTCTTATTCTGTAATTGGGAAGATAACTCAGGGAACTCATGTTTATGGGGTATATGGAGAACCTTTGGTGAACACTGGCCTGTATCTTTAAGGCTGAAGGCATGGGCCATGTTGTTTAATCTGTCTCATCAACCTGTTTAATTTATCACTGATAAAAGTTAGCATGTAACTTGGTGTCTGCTAAATGAGCTATAAGAAACAGCTTAGAAACACAAGGGAATTGCACTGTGACCTATAGATCAAAACCAATTCTAGCTGAGAGTCAAGAAGAAAATGTTTCCACCTAAATTCTGATTTTTACCATAAACAGATTTCCTTTTCATGTGATCTTGTCTGTGAATTGATTACAATGAACAAAAACCCACTGTGCTGGGGCTGGCCATTGCCTCTTCTGTCTACTTGCAGGAGTGACTCAGTGAAGGGAAGCAATCCAGCTGGGGAGGTAGAAGCAGAGGCTCAGTTGAAATGAGACTAACTGCATAAACATCAAACATCAAACAGGAAAAGTGCTGAGAGGGCATGCAATCACGCTAGAGCAATAGGTGTAAACCAAGACCATGCTAAGCAAACCACTAGGTTTGCTACTTGAAAATTATGTCATTATGGGTCAATGTTTCTAGGAAGTCATGCATACCTAGGGTTATACAAGGCTAACAAGAGACACTTGCAGGAAGAAAATTGTCTTCTCTAACAACTGCCATTTAACAGGCCCCAGCTGCCTCCGAACTGATAGCACACACCAACCACTTTAAAACAATCACTCTGCCCACCAATCTCAACAGTATTGCATGTTTGAACTCATGTTAGATGGATAGCTGTTTTTTGTCAGAGGTGTATGCTCAGCACCATGGGAGGAGGAGGTTGCTTCGATCCAGCTAAGTAAGGAACACACTAAAGTAGGAAGAGGCCAGGATAAGTGGAACCTCCAGGGACCAAGAACAAGGACATAGAGGCATCAATGTGGAGCCTGCTGAGTGCATCTTGGGTAAGAACTAAGGACAAGTTTATGCCAGCCTTGCACGATTTTGCCCAGGGTAGCAACATGGTCAGTGTTTGCTATTTAATCACTGGCAGCTGGGCAGAGAATGAATACGGGAAGAACAGGACTAATATAACCAGTTAATCACACATTACATACTTTGAGCTGTTATTTTAAAATAAGCCAGGACTGCTGGAAACCATGTCACAGCAGTGCTAGTCAAAACCCAACTCTGGCTCCCAGAAAGGGGAGAGGTGGAAGGCTAGGAAATGTCAAAGTGGTGTGACCCAACAGTCCCAGTGAGGACAACCCCTGGGATCCCAAATACCCCAAGTTAGAGGCACAAGGAAAAAGCTCATCAGCAATGTGACTCCACAGTTTTAAAAACAAAATACTCCCCCTTTTTTTTTTTTTTTTGTTAGGAAATACAGAAATGAAATGGCATGTAAGTTTTTTGTTTTTTTTTTTAAACAATCACAAAGAAACAAGTCAGAAGAGATCTTATGTTAGGTTGATTTATAAGCGCTGCTCTGGGCAGTTACAGTTTGTTTACAACAAGAAGTTATCTAACTCTAACATACTGTACACGGCAATTAGAAGTTGTCATGGCAAGAGAAAACCACAGCTGGCCTGCTGTGGCCAGCACAAAAACCAGGGAACAGTAGGGGAAATGCAAATGGAGAGGGGGCTTGTTTATTATAAAAGAAAAAAGGAATAACTCCTTAGGAATCTTAACAAAGAAAGGAATATTCTGCACTGGGAGGAAAGACACTAGGATACAACATTACAAGTATTTTCACTCCAGCCCTGTCCCCAACTCCTCCAAGAGGAGAGTGGAAAGAGATGGTTGAAGCAGACAATTTTGAAAAATTAGACTTAGAAATCCTACAAATTTGATTAAAATCTAAACTTCTGTTTTGCTTTTAAAAAATTTAATGTATCAAAAGGCCTGCTTTAGTGACATGCTAGTTTCACCAAAAAAATAACCCAAGGCCTTCTGCAGGAACGCTCTCATGTGGGCCAGCCAACTCGCTCCCAGAAACCCATGGACAATTATGCGGGTCTTAAACCTCGCCACTGGGCTCAGGTGACCACCAGTAATGTCATTCACCCGGCAGCCGTCCAGGGTCCACCTCCTTAAGAAGGGTGGACAGGGCAGGGCGACCCTAAAGTGGTAATGAAGACTAAGCGCCCCTAGTAAACTTTCCCAGTACCACACTCCCCACCCCTGCTCCAAAGGATCTCCTTTATTTCTAAACCAAAGTATTTGCCTCAAATTTAGCACCCAGGGACCAGGATGGTTTCCTCCCTTAGAAAAACACATACCCACACACCCATAATTTTTTTGTTTTTATATTTAAATATAAAAATACTACTCTGCTTTGTGTTATAAATGAAGGACCAAGCACTAAGATCTTTTCCTTTAAGACAGGGCTTTCTATCAGTTTACCCAGCTTTGTGTCCTCGGAAGGGAATGCAGCCCCAAGCAAGGGAAGTGCTGCAGTAGGAGACCAGGGCATTTCCCTCGCTGACTGCCACCCCACCTTCTCTATAATTACAGCTTACGAAATAGAGCTTTCCACACGAGGGGGAATTCTAACCTAACCTCACCTGGCCTCCTCTTTCAGCAACCTTGAAGAAAATGTACCTCCCTGCTCCCCCAGAACATGCTGCATCCCACAGCCATGCCTAACAGACAGGCACCCCTTCCCACTAGCGCATTAAAAAAAAGCCTCACTGACAAGAAAAAGGGGCTGGGGGTGAAGAGATTAAAAACGTAACACCTCTATCCTGGCCAAAGAAAGCAAGATTAACTGGGCATGAGGAATAAAAAAAGACCTTGATATTCCACCCTTTGAGTTACAATTGGGACAAGCGGGATAACACAGAGGGTGAAGAGCTGGAGTGGGAGGCAGAACTAGGAGGGGCTTGAAGGCTGAGGTCTAGTCCATTTAGTTTTTGTATTGGAAGGGTTCATCTCCGGTTTCATTGAGAAGACACGTGCGGATGAGGGCTTCTGTCACTGAATAGGGGTCACAGTTGGCAGAAGGGCGACGGTCTTCAAAGTAACCCCTCCTCTCCTGGCCGACAGTCCGGGGAATGCGGATGCTGGCACTACGGTTGGCCACGCCAGCAGAAAAGTCGTTGATGTTGGAGGTTTCGTGGAATCCAGTTAGGCGCCGGGCATTGTCCAGGCCCCCCTTGGGATCATAGGCACGAATGTGGTACTGGTGCCGCTTGCTTAATTTCTCAATGGCCTCCTCAATGTATCTAAAAAACAAACAAACAAACAAAAAAAACCCAAGATGAGGGTTAACCTTATCACCAAAAACATCCTCCCTTCAAGGACAAGAACAGGTAGCCATCTAGGACTGACATTCACCAAAGTATAGGGCCAGCACAACCAATACTCCATGACTCACACCAGTGACCGCCTTGTTACTATGTACCCCAGTGCTCAGAATGCCTGACATGTAGCACCAAGGCATAATGTGCTGAAAGACTTTCTCCCACCCATAAGCACCAATCTATGTGCCTGTACTGTTACTAAATTAGTTCTTATTAAATACTGTTAAACTTTCCCTATCACCATCTTTAATTCTATTCCTTGAGTATTATTTGGTACTTTCTAAATGAGAACAAAACGACAGAATTAGAAAAAAATAAGCCAATTGTCAAGAGCTAAGGCATTTGTAGCCTGAAGTTCAGCTTACCTGTCCCCAATACAAACACTTGACAAAACACAAAGAGACGTAAAGAGATTGATATTCCCTTCCCAAGCCTTTTTCACTTGAGAATAAACATGACCCCCACAGCAGGCACTCACTTCAGACCATTCTCCTCCCTCATGGCCTTGGTACTAAAGTTGGTGTGGCAGCCGGCACCATTCCAGTTTCCAGGAATGGGCTTGGGATCAAAGGTAGCTATCACTCCAAAGTCTTCACATACGCGATGCAAGATGAAACGGGCCACCCAGAGATGATCTCCCATGTGGATTCCTTCACAAGGTCCTATTTGGAATTCCCACTAGAAAGAATGAGAAGGTTGGCCTTTACAATAAAGCCAGCTGCTCACTGAACTCAAGCTCAAGCCTGCTTTCTTCCCACCTCTACTCCAACCCACTCTGAAATTGTGGGTTAGTGACTGGTGCATCAGCAGCCCTTGCTAGCCCAAGCCCCCATTTGCCTACCTACCCTGACATCTTCAGAGGGCAGGAAGCTGACAGAGAGAGCCATTTACCTGGGCAGGCATGACCTCAGCATTTGTCCCCGTAATCATGACTCCAGCATACAAGCAGGCCCGGTAATGAGCTTCCACAATGTCCCTGCCATAGGCTTTGTCTGCTCCCACGCCACAGTAATATGGACCTGTAGGTTTCAAGACAATGTGGTAAAAGTGGGGGAAATCCCCAAATCAGAAATCTCAAGTCCTGGGACTAGTTGTTCTCCTGAATCCCCAATCCCTGTCTTCACCTACAGGTGGGGAATGAAGAAATTAGGGGGTTCCTCTTTGCCACAGCCTCGTGGACCCAAAGGTTCCACCTCAACCCCTTCTCACTTTATACATTTACATCCATCTCTGGATTTGGGTAACAAGAAGGCATGTCTCTACTGTTATTTTCAGCTGGTCTCAACTTTTTTTTGAGAGTTGTTCCCATCTCTGGAGAGAGGGGCTTTCCTGGACTAAGCACCTGGGGGAGGATTAGTTTTTACCCAAAAGGACTTACCTTGGGGACCAGGAAAGCCATTAGAAGGCCAACCAAAGGGATGACCATCTGTGCCCATGAGAGTGTATTCCTGTTCCATTCCAAACCAGGGATGCTGGTTGCTCACCATTTCCATTATCCGTTTACAGGTGTGCCTTAAATTGGTCTCTAGAAAGAGTCAACATGCTATTAGGGACACATATACTGGGCCTGGATGCTGATGTGCAAACAGTCTTCCTACTCTACACAGCTGAGATGATCATGAACTGACCTAGGGAAAACCTTTGTGTCCCATCACCAAGTCAGGAAAATGGGAAAAGCTGCATTTACACATCACATCTGCAGGAGATCCTCTGAAAGACTTTAGTTAGTTATAATTAAACTCAGTTACAACCAAGTCACATGGCAGTGGATTCAGAACAGAGCAAGTGTTCACCTTATCTGCATGCTGGCCACCTCCCAAGCACCAAATGCCAGGCACTTCCACCCTCTATTCACAAGACAGCTGCTTCTAGTTGTCAAATTTATCCCCTAATTTCTCAGGCACTTAGAGCCAAAGCTGTAATTATTTTTTTGCACGGTTTTGGGGATGGAATCCAGGGCGTTGCACCGAGCTATATCTCCAGGCCCCGCCCCCTTATTTTAAATTTTGAGACAGAGTCTCACTAAGTTGCCAGGCTGTGATCCTTCTGCCTTATTCTCCAAGTAGCTGGGATTACAGGCATGCACCACTGTCCCAGCCAAGTCTAATTTTTATTGAGAATAGTTTGTTCTGTAGGAGGCTTACATTCCAGGTGAGCTTAAGTGCTAAATTATATAGCATTGGCTGGTGCAAAAGAAAAACAAAAATGAGATGAGCTCAACTGGAAACAATTTCCAAGCTAGAACAGAACTTCAAAACAAAAAATATTCATCTGAATAACAACCCTGAGGTGGGCATTAGAAGTACTTTGTTGAGACAAGGTATCTCACTAAATGCAGAGGTTGACCTTGAACTTGTGATCTTCCTACCTCAGCCTCCCGAGTTGTGGGGATTATAAGCATGTGCCTTTGCACCCAGTTTTGGAGGCTCAGAAGTGTTGTTAGATAACTTGCCCACACTTTGGGGCAAGCACAGAGCCAGGAAACCCAAGGTTGCCTTGGCTTTAGAGCCCACGCCCTTTACCAACAATAATGCCTCGTGCAAAGGCAAAGAAAGTGTAGAGTCATTAAGTCTCACTGGCTGACAACTGCGAAAGACCTGTCTGCAAACAGGGACCATAAGATGCAGTTATAGCAAACCTCAGGGCAAATATATGTTATCTGAGAACCAAGATGTTCATGTTTGTCAGTGGATAAACTATGCTGTTTAGTGAAACAGCAACCAATATTTGATGTACAATTGTTCCAAAAGATTTGCATGTATTAAATAATTTAATCTTACCAACTTTCAGGTGAATTTTATTATTTTCTCAATTTTTAAATCAGCAAAATAGCAGTTCAGGATTCAAACAAGATTCTGAATCCAGATTCTCAAAAATTTCCAGGCAAACAGGTGGCTCTGTCACTGGGGATTCTTAGCAGCAAAAACATTAAAAATTCATCATTGTACACAACTAGTAAAGGGGACCATAGAAGGTGAAGAGATAGACCCCCAATCCTCCAAATTCTTAAACAGTGCTGATAGTCTAGTCTTCCTAATACTGATTTCAGAATGTCTCCTCCCCTTACAGAATTGCTGGACTGAGGTAGGGACATCCAAACCCATCTTATACATACCTGCAGGCTTTCGGTTGTACTTGAAAACTTCACAGAACACTAGCTTGTTGGGATCCTTGCGGAAGGGGTCCCGAAACATGGCAGCAGGTACAAGATACATGTCACTATTGGAGCCTTCAGACTGAAAAGTACTAGAGCCATCAAAATTCCACTCAGGCAACTCTGAATCAAAAAGAGAAGAAAAAATTAAAAATGTATAGGAAGGCTTCTCAGGCAAGAAATATAACCAGCCCCTCATTCACCTTTCCATTTCTAAAGATTTACTTTGTCATTCCCAGAAAGTGTGGCATGAATGCATCCTTGTGTAAAACACCATCTCTACTTGTGTACCTGCATTCCAAGTAAGATCACTGTACCCTCACTTCCTTAAAAGAATTAAGTCACAAGAGCCACCAAAGGTTGACAGACATTTCCTACTTAAATAAGTCTACTCTATACCAGCAGACAATGAGGTACTTTGTTATTATAATCAGTGAATCAGTCATTTAAGAGACAGGGGAAAGATTCTGGTTCTTTCATTAGGCCATCTGTGTTGCTTCCTTCTCTCATCCCCTACTTTCACTGACTGTTCTAACTAACGTTGTGTCCTTATTTTGCAGATGAAGAAAACAGACTGATGCTCCCATACCACTAGTTCACTTTTCTCACTGTTTTAGAGGTCAGTTTCTTCATCTCTCCTATTGACTGAGTTCTCAGATGGCAGAGGCCTGTTCAACACCTGCCACATAGCACTTTATATGCTCCATATTACGGTCCTTCATTCAATCAATCCAAATGTGAATATAAGCAGAAGAATAAGCTATTCTATTTTTTTTTTAATCTTATTTTTTTTTTGGTGGGGTTCTTTTTTTTTGTCTTTTTTTTTTTGGAACTGGGGGTCGAACCCAGGGCTTTGCGAATGCAAGGCAGACGCTTTGCCACTGAGCTACATCCCAGCCCGAAGAATAAGCTATTCTAATGTAGGCAGGAGAGGACAGTTTTTCCCCTGGCCCATTCCCAGAAGGGCAAGGGCTACAACTTGTTCTAGACTAAAAAAATGAAGATCAAAAACCTAATATAGTAACTCCTCAAGGGACATGTAACCAGATCATTTAAAATTTCTAAAAGTGGCTCCAACAAAAAACAAATGGTGAGTCCCCCCATTTATAAACCACTTTAGAGGATGTACTTTGCATGCAGAAATCCAGTGATATGACTACTAAACACAGACTTCAGCAGTGTGGAAATTACTTGGCATATTCAGTTAAGAGCAGTGGTTTTCAAACTGGGTTCCCAGGGGTGCCTTAGAGCCAGTTAAGTAGGATGGTCAAGTCAGGAAAGTCTCCAGCCCCTTATCCTCTACAAATTACACTCAAACCTTCTCTCTTCAATATATTGGTTTACACACGAGTCCAATTAAATAAAGGCTTCCATTGTTGCTATGCTTTGAGGCTATGAAGAAGCTTAACACTGATTGAAGTTTGAAAAGCCTTGGGTGTTTGCTGCCCACTCCCACACTGCCCCCACCATAGGCAAGTACTCCATTTCTGCCCAATCTCACCTTCTACACTCTTGGGCTCAGAGTCCAGGGTGCGAGTCTTGCAGCGAAGTCCTTCTCCAGTACCATCAATCCAGATATACATAGCTTGGACTTTCTCACCCTGAGGCAGGGACATATACACCTGCTTGATGCCTTTGTTCAAGTGGGAACTTGCTGAGGTGGCCATGATGGAAGATGTTCTGAAGAGAAAAAAGTAATTTTATCAACACCCACTCCAAACAGATTCCCTGTAGGAATGGCTTAAGGGACACAATTGAATTAAGAGTGGTAGTGGAGAGCCCGCCCCTTTAGAACTCAACACAACTAAAGTAACAATTATTTGCTCTGCCTTCAGAGGGTTCAAAACTTCATATCACACAAAAGTAACATAAGAGTATGGTGTAAAAATCTGATCATCACCTTTTGAAGCAATTAAAGCAGATACTTGGGGCTGGGTAAGAAGCTCAGTGACACAGTACTTACATAGCAAAACAAAAAACTTGCTAGACCAAGGCCTTGGTATTAACTGACATCTCTTGGCATCCTGGGGCTCAGAGGTTGAAGAGTTTCAGATACTACGGATCTGAAGCTTCCAAGCTAGAATCTATGCTTTCAATTCTAAAATTCCATTAGTCTAGTGCAAAGTTTTATTCCCTCAGTGTGGCTAAGGTAGGTAACTTTTTGAAATAAGTGACTAGGAGGAAACAAAAATGATAATACAAATGGAGGAACTTTAGATAGGGCAAAGGGGAGGGAGGAGAAGGGAGTGGGCAAGGGGTAGGAAGGACGGTGGAATGAGATGGATATCATTACCCCAAGAACACGTATGAAGACACTAATGTGACTCTACTTGGTAGACTCTACTCTCTACTAGAGACATTGTACTTTATATGTGTCCTATGAATTGAAATGCATTCTGCTGTCATATAACAAATTAGAAATAATTTTACTTTTTTTTTAAATGACGATACAAAAGTTCAGAGACAGAATGTTTACCACCTTCCAGTTCAAGTAAAATCCAGCTAGAGACCTGGTTGCTGTGGTTTCTGTTCTGAATCAGACTCCAATGTGCATGCTGCGTAATTTTTCATTGGTGTGATGTAAAATTCTCACTTCAGAAGACAGGCCTCAGATTTAAATGTGAGAATGACAATATTCTGGGGATTTTACTAAAGATTCTTTACAAGTAGAAAATTTCCATTTCTAATCAAAAAGATCTGGGATTTCAAAAAGCTCTGAGGCATGATTGCAAGCCATGACCACAAAGCCTCCAAAAGAAGACATCTCTGAAGCCACAAAACCAGCCTCCATGCAAGAGGAAATGTTCCCCCCTCCCTCTCTAGCCCAGGGTGGCTGGAAAGGGAACACACTGTTCTCCTCCAATGACTTGGGCAACTTTCTGAAGTACAGTGGCAAAGTTTCTATGGGCAACCGTCCATGTTTGCCCAGCTGAAAACTGCTTCTCCCTCCAACTGCCTCACCCTTCCCCTGGGGAAGAGGAGGACCTCGCCTGTCCAGTCGTATTACAGAATCAACATTATCTTTACCTACAAGGTCTACAAGACAGGTCATCAAATCCCACCTCCCACTCCTGACATGGAAGGCTAGGACAACTTCTGAAAGCTACAACCCAGTCTCAGCTTTCCTCTCCAACATCAGACCACTGTCTCTAAGCCTAGGTTCCAGATCTCCTGTTCTTTGGTGAGACCAGTTGGATGCCAGCAGCTGGTGCCTACATGGTGCCAAGTACACGTGGGAGAACGGGTTCTGAAGTTCAGGGTGGTGTCTGCAGATGCCCCCTTCGCAGTGTCCTCCTCCCTGCCCCCTCACTCACCCCTGCCAGAGAAGGTCTAGGGGACTGCTGGGGTTGACCTCTCTAGCCCTCCTTTTTTTACTGTTGTGCTCATGCTTCTCTTCACTGGGGATCTCTCCCGGGTCCAAGCAACGAAGCTTTCTGGGTGAGGGTGACGGTGATGGAGTAGGGGAGAGGGACAAAGACACGGAGCGGTCCTGCCGGGAGGCATTGGAATACATAGGCTGCTGGTGGAGTTGGTTTAAGGTCTTAGCCTTGACCCATGGTTTCCCCCCGGATTTGGAGTAGGCCACGAAGTCGCAGGAGTTGGTGGGGGTCGTCTCGGAGGCCTGAGACTCCAGGTCATCGTCATCTTCATTTGTGATCTTCTTTGAGAATTTGCGGCTGGAAGTGGATCTCCGCTTCCCGCCCCCGGGGGAGTTGGGATAAGCCACCTTGAGAGCAGCCCCCTCCCACTTAAGGTTCTGAAAATGGGCGCCCCGCCCCTCCGGCCCGCGTTGACCTCAGGGCCTCGCCGAGCCAGCCATGCCCCGCGGGGGTAGAGGCCGGGGAGGGTCGAGCCTGCGGCGGCTGGAGGGACGGTGCGCGGCTGCTGCCTCGAGCCGGCCGGGTGTCTCCACTGCGATGTCCGCTCTCCACGACGCGACCCCGGCCCTCCATTGTTCGGTCACACTACAGGAGCCCGGGGACCCCGCGGCGGGAGCTGGCCGCGCAAACAACGCTCGCGGCTCCCGGCCTCAACCCGGGCGTCTAAAAGCCGGGTGCCACCAGGACTTCCCGGACGCGCCACCGCGGAAGGAGCCGCGAGGCGCCTGCGCCCGCCCTCGCGAAGGGACCCTGCGGCCACTCAGTCCACACTGCACAAGCCACCCAGGGCGCCGGCCTCCGGGGGCGGCGCTTCGGGCCGCAAGTAGCGAAAGGAGGATCAAAACAACACCCTCCCCCACCGTCCCGCTCGGAGCCCGGTCGAGGGCGCGCCCCGCCGTCGCCAACCGGATGGGGCGGACTCGGAGCCGCCGGCGGCCCAAGCACGCGGGAAGCGGGAGCGTGTGAAGCCCGCGGCCGGGGCCGAAACGCGGAGCTGGAGACAGCAGGTGGGAGGCGGCCGGGCCGGGGCGCCGCGCGTCACTCAGGGCCCGCGGGGCTGGCCGCGTGCTTACCTGGGCGGCGAGCAGGTGGCGGGCGGGCGGGCCGTGAGAGCGAGGTGAGGAGAGAGGAGAGGAGTTCGCCGGGGCGCTCAGCAGCTCCGCTCTTCTCCCATTCTCGGCTCTGTCCGGCCGCCTGCAACCCCGCACCCTTTATCGGCCGCCCGGGGCCGCCCCCGGCGCCCTGATTGGCTCGCCGCGGCCGGGACCGGGGCCCATCAGCTGATGCGCGCCGGGGCCCCGCGGCCATTGGGCGAGGAGCCGAGCGGGCGCCGCCGGGTGGGGCGAGGGAGCTGGGAAGAAAGAAAGAGAAAGGGGCGTGGGGGAGGGGAGCGCGGCCGCCGCGCGGAGGGCCGGGCCTGCCCGGGGACCCTGTCCTCGCTGCCCACCCGCCAGCCCCGAGGGCCGCCCGGGCCTCCCCCCTGGCTGCCTCCTCCGTGCAAGTTCCGCGAGCCCAGATTCACAGAAACCGAATTTCGCCCTTTGTTGTGAGAGAGCCTCCCTCCCGCCCTCCGCGCGCGCTCGGGTGAAGTTGGACGCGGAGCACAGGCCAGGGCGGGAGGCCCTCGGCCTGCAGAGACCTGGTCTCAAGGCTTGGAAGAGCACTCGTCCCTGGTCCCGTCGTGGGCTTGGGAAAGTGAACAGAACCCTGTGATTTCCTATTTTCCCCTGAAGGGCTGTGTTTCTGTACTCCAGAGAGGATTCTGGAGGGCTCCACAAAGGAGACCTGTCCAGTACTGCCTCAGTGAGACCCTGGGCAAGTCGCAGCCTCTCTGGGCCCAAGTTTCCAGATCTGGAAAATGAAGTGGTTCCAAGAATGGCCTTTAGTGCCACCCACCTGATGTGAAATTTCTGCGTGCAAACTACCGCAAGGGCAGCTAAAGGAAAGCCGCGGGTTTTCCAGCTCTTCCCAGGTCCCCTTCCAAGTCTTTGCTCCCCCTTCGGAAGTCAAAAATTCTTCAGAAATTTAGGATTCCTTAAAGGAATTCTCCCTGATTTTGCTTTCCAATTAATTAATTGTGGCTTCTTTTTTAGTGGCTGAAATCCACCTGTCATGTCTGGTCTTTAGTGTTCCAGGAGCCCCACTATTTTAGACTGTGATTTTCTGTTTAAAGACCAAGAATTCATCCTTCCAGTGCCCTTGGAAAAGGAAGGGAAAATGTTTGTTCTTCTGGTTATGTTTTGTACCACAAATATGAAAAATAAATGTTGCTTGTGACCACACACACATTACTTGGCTTCTTTGGTCACCATCCCTTCCTTTTAAGTGTGTGGAACACTGTAGCACTTTCAAGTGATAGATGCAGTATTCATCTCTAACACAGGTTTCTGATATATTTTGGACTGGGTAAGGCACCTCACATAGCAAATTCCTTGTTAGATTTTAGTACTGCATGTTGAAACATTATAGTATGGTAGTTAAAGGCAGGGCATCAGATCCGACAAACCTAGGTTCAAACCTGAACTTGACCTCTTACCACCTTTGTGTTGACCAAGTTACTTAGCCACACAGAGCCTGGGTTTTCTTGCCTATGAAATGGGAAAATAATAGCTACCTGTAAATTGTAGGGATTAATTGTGATAGCATTAACAAAAGAGATTAGGGCCAGGAACATAATAAAGGTTTGGAAAACATTATATATGATAGGCCAGAATAATGTGAAGGGATTAGAGTATTTCTTTTCCCATTTAAGGAGACTGAAATCAACTTTCTGATTTAGTATAATGCTCCATCTTTGGTTTAAGGAAGGTGGGCTTAGACCTGGTAACAAAGTGAGCTGTTCTCATTCTTACTCTTTCTACCAAGTCTTCAGAACTGGTTGGGAAGGGAGCAGAGGAAGGGAAAAGTGATGTTCTTGTTTTACGAGATGTTGGTCTCCAGATGCCAAACTGCCAAAGCGTAAACCAGAGCTTTCTGTGGCATTACTAGCACCTGAGATGGGGATGGAAAACATAATGGAAAGTGGAATAGGAAGGCACAAATGTAATTTTCTAATCTTGTGGCGTTTCTGCATTTCTGAGTGTCTACTTCCCTTGCTATGTATGTTAACCTCCAAGAGCAGCTCTGTCATCTCCATATCCCCCAGTAGTGTCCAGAGGGAGTGTTCAGTAAACGTTTGTTGACCACACAGAAATGACAGCGGCATCATCAAGAGAACATGTGCTTTGAGCTGCTTTTCCGAGAATGGAAATGGATTTGCTTTGATCCTTTCCTGTGACCAGGGGCCTGCCTTGTGGCAGTTAGGAACATAATACATGACCACTGACTCTTTCAGGAGTGAGCAAGAGGCCTCCTACGTCAGTCCCACACTTGCTTAAATCAACCAAATTAGAACCTAGATAAGTCGAAGGACTGAGCAGGGAATTTTTTAGAGTGTGCGATGGAAGAAAAAGCAAAAGAAAGTTCTTCAGTTGGTTCACCCCCAGAAAACCAGACTGTACTTTTTAGAGAAGTAAAAAAGTAGAACACCCTGTTTCACCCACTTTGACCGCTGTATCTGCTACCCTTTTATTTTCTTCCCCTTCTTCCATAAATTGCCACCGCCCCCATTTTCTACCCCTCCATAAAAAGAACATTAGGATTCTTGGACTCATAAACTTTTCAGTCTCTGGGTGCACAGTTTCAAAGCTGAGAAGAAGGGGGTTCTTAGGGCATGTGCTTTGAAGCTAGGTTCTCTCTCTTTGAGTTGTTCTGTCCCAGGGGTGGGTGGAGTGGGAGAGCAATATTACAGAAGATTTTATTCCGGATCTGCAGACATAGCCCAGGACTAAGCACATTTCTTCATTGTTGCTCTACTGCCTGAAATGAAGGCCTTGTCTTGGGTGGGCTTTACCTTTGAGTTCTCCTCACAACTTCTTTCTCACTTAAAAGAACTCTTCTCACTTTGTAGGTCTGAAGCCTTTAATCCAGTGCTCTGAGAGGGCTTTTCCAGGGCCTGTGTTGTTGTTTCAAAGGTAATCAGTGAAAAGGGAGCACAACTGAAAGTCAGGATTGGGGACACCTTAAAAATCTGACCTGAATTGTCAACTTTTTCTTTACTTGTTTAATAAACCAACATCAATTCTTTTCAAAAGAATAGACCATGATTGAATCTTAAAAGAAAATAATAAAATAAACAAGGAGAGAAATGAATTACAGTAGATGGGGTAGAGAGAGAAGATGGGAGGGGAGGGGAGGGGGGATAGTTGAGGATAGGAAAGGTAGCAGAATACAACAGTCACTAATATGGCATTATGTAAAAATGTGGATGTGTAACCGATGTGATTCTGCAATCTGTATTTGGGGTAAAAATGGGAGTTCATAACCCACTTGAATCTAATGTATGAAATATGATATGTCAAGAGCTCTGTAATGTTTTGAACAACCAATAATAAAAATAAATAAATAAATAAGAAAGAAAATAATAAGACAAAAAAGAAGAACAGCTTTGGAAGTTAATAGCATTACTCTTAAACCATATTTTGGGAAGAAGGTATAGGTGGGTGACCTTACAAACTTCACTCTCCACAATTACAGAAGGAAGGACCAGATTATACTTCAATTTAGTAACCAACCACTGAGCACAAGAATTATTCTTTATGTATCTTGATTATTTGATACTCTTCAATTGAGAAAAGGAAACTTGAGATTTGAACCTCAGCTAAGTTCTCCTAAGCCTGATTTGAGTCTTTGTCGAACACTCACTGAAATCATTTCAATTTAGGGAACACTCCACTTGCCACACTGTGCATTAGGATGGAAGGCTTGGGTCTGTTTGAGCTCTATTCTAAGTCTTGTCTTTATTAGGAATCTGCTTGGAAAATTGGGAAAAGTCAAGTTCATCTTACCTCACAACATGGGAAATAAGTCTTATAGAGAAAATTACAGCCATACAGTTCTGGCATTAGATTTTCATGCCTTTTTATCCTAAAGAGGAGAAACTGAGGCCTAGGTAACTTGTAACTTGCTGAAGTCAGGTTAGGACAGCATTCCACAACCTAATGTACTTCCAAGGTGCCATTCCTTTGAGCACATTTCTCTGGTCCCCTTCTTTCAGTGTCCTTAGCCTGTGGGTGGAGTTCCTGGGCCACCACTTCTAAAATAATGAAATTCCTACCAAACCACTGAAGAAAGTACAGAGTACAGGGACTGACCAGTTTACCCCAAAGTCTTATATTACAGTTTACCCAGTGACTTCGGTATAGTGACCATTCTGTGTACATTTTCTTTGTGAATAACCAAGATATGAGAAAATAGGTGCTATGTAGCTGGTTCTCTTTGAAGGGATCTTTGGAGGGGCTAGAGTGTAGCTCTGTGGTAGAGAACATGCTTAGTGTGCTGAAGGCCCTGCTTTCCACTGCCAGCATCACACACACACACACACACACACACACACACACAGGTGGACGGACACAAGTCAGTAGGGTAAAGTAATCTTTGGAGATTATTAGTCACATATAATAATCTTTCCTTAGTTTCATTTTGAGAATCTGGGATTTTCCTAGATCGTTTTTGTTTCCTATTCTCAATGCATATGTAGATCTCTAGATTGATTGAAGCTTTTTAAAAGTTTAGGAAATTATAGCCCAATTATATTGTTGTCTGTGCATGTACAAATATGTAACAACAAATCTCATCATTAAGTACAACTGTAATGCACCCATAAAAAATGTGGAAAGAGAAAAAGAAAAAAATGTTTAGACAATTTGGCACTCTGATCAAAAACTTATTTGGGTCAGAATGCTCTTTGGTACTTTTCCCAAAGAAATCCTCAACTGGATCCAGTTTTTCCTGCCTCACCCCTAACCCCATTAATTGATTTGGGTCCCTGTTTATTTCACCTTTGTGTGCCAAATTTTAATGGGAAATAGCCCTAGGGTGTTTTTTGGATGCTTGGGCAATATTTAGTCTGCTTCTGTACTTTTCCTGCCCTCCTTCTGCCTCTCACTTTTTTTTTTTTTTTTTGTACCAGGGACTGAACCCGGGGTGCTTAACCACTGAGACACATCCCAGCCTTTTTAATTTTCTATTTTAAATTAGGGTCTCACTAAGACTAAGTTGCTTTGGGCCTTGCTAAATTGCTAAAGCTGCCTTTGAACTTGGGATCCTCCTGCCTCAGCCTCCCTAGTGATTGGGATGACAGGT